TGGGTGGGGCAGGGGGGCGCAGGTTGTGCGTGAAACAAGCTAAGCCTAAAACCAAAAACTGGCGCCTGTTTGTGCTTGTGGCCACAGTCAAATGTGCACGTGTGTGTGTGTGTGTGTGTGTGTCTGTGTGTGTGCGTGTGTGTCCGATGTCCATTTAGCTTTTTTTCCGGCTAGTGCTGCCATGGCTGTTGACAATTGAATTGAATTTGGCAGCAGTTGCGGCAATGCCACGCCCACATGCCAGACGCATAAAGCATATTTCAGCATGCAAAACCCAAATACGCAAAACCAAAAACAAATCAAAAACCAAAAGCGCATTTGCTGCTAGAAAGAGCGAGAGAGAGAGAGAGGGAGAGAGAGAGAGAGAGGTAGAGAGAGCTGAGCTGATGTTGAGTGCCCAAATGGGCAACACCTAGTGTCAAGCCTCAGCTCCTGGTGCTGCTGCTGCTGCTGCTGCTCCTGCTTCTGCTCCAACTCCAACTCCTGCTTCAACTAGCCGAACTGCCATATGCCCGTGCCATATCCTGTGCAGCTTGCGACCGAAAGTTGCAAAAATATTCGCACGTTTGCTCCAAAACAAAGCCAATGGGCAGCCAGGGGGGCTGCACTAGGCAGCCGGAACGTGGACAACTGCCAGGGCTGGCAACATGTGTGCGTGCTTTATGACGCTCCGACTCGGCTTTGACCATATTTCTTGCCATAAATTCTTGCCACACATATACACATATACCGTTTGGTATTAGTTTATGAATTGCCCCAGCCACGCCCATGCTCTGTGTGTCTATTGTGGCTCAAAGGCAGCTCTGCCAGGCAACCGCCGAAAATCGAACTCCACTGAATTTTATGGTAATTATAAACTTTATTTAGCAAAAATCTTGAACAATACGAAAAGTTGTGAGCGAAAAAAAAAACACAGAAACTGTCTAAAACTTTCGCAAGGGAGCAGAAAGTTGGCCAGATGCATGCGGCTTTAGGGCGGGGGGCGTGTAGCCAACACAGCTCGGCCATGGCCAAGCGAGTCAACGCACTAATTACCAAATGTTTTAAACTTAACTAAATATATATTTCATTGTACGCCAGTGTTGTAAAATGTTTATTTTTAGCTTCGTTTCGGTTCTGTTTTTTTTCCTGTTCGTTTTTCTAGTAGTTGGTTTCCGCTTGCTGCTTTTCGGTCTGGCAAATGTGTGCGTGTGTGTGTGTGTGCTGCAGCACTGTAAATTTAAGGATTTCATGAGCTTTAATTTAAGCTTAATTGTTGTTAAATTAATAAATGGCTTAACGGCTCTCAGCTGTGTCACATTTGCCGTTTTCAAGCAAATTAGCTGCCAGAAGCCATGCAAAATGTATGAAAATTTGCTGCTCATTAAGGAGAAATCGGAACAAAAATCTAGCCATACGCATGCATCGGGGCCTGCAGCTGTAAATTGACTGGAAACCTGATAATCTATTAAAAACTTTGGTGCCCAACAAAATATGAAGTTTACTTTGCTTTTCAGCTGCGCAATGCTGCAATTGTTTTCCAGCAATTAAAATGCCGTATTAAATTTATACTAAAAGAAAGAAGAAAAAAATGATTTAAGCCTGGCAACGATTTTTCAAAACGCAGGTGGCTCCCAGGTGGGCGTGGAAGTGGGTGTGGTGGGTGTGGGGGGTGTTGGCTGCTATTGAGCTGAAATGACAGCCGCCATTGCAAATTGAAAGCAGCAGGCAAGTGAGCCTTGTTTAGACTGCGCGCCATGGCAATTGCACACGAGCCACGAGCGAGGAATAAAAACAGTAACAGGCGGGGCAAAAGGTGTGCGTGTGTGTGTGTGTGTGTTTGTGCCTAGCAGGACAGGCAGTTGGCAAAAGCGGGGGCAGAGCAGGAGGCGAGCCTGCTCGTAGGAGTCGTAATTAGAGCGTAAAAACCAGAGCGTACGAAAAACTAAATGTGCTCGGGCAGCTACTACTACTACTACTATTTTTTTTTTTTTCTCTCAGCACCTGCATTGTGTGCGAATGTGTGCGTGTGTGTGTGTGTGTGTGTGCAAGTGCTTTATGCGAAAAGAAAAATAGATAGCTGGCGAAAAACTAGAAAAGCTAAAGCAAACGAAGCGAAGTGCTGTCCCCCCACTGACACATATATGATTATTTCCGAAAGGTGACAGCTATAAAAAAGGGCAGACAAACAGCTCTGCCTAGTTGGACTCCGCCCACCACACACACACCAACACACACACACATGCACGAGCACAAAGTAAATGGCAAGACAAAGAGCGTAGACAACACTGTTGCTCTTTTCAGTGACGCCTTCACGACCATAAAATTGAGATAGGCAGAGCGCGGCACCTTTTTTTTTTCGTTCTCTATTTTTAATTTCATTCAGAGCCTCTGCTTCGCCCGACTTCTTCAGCTGAGCTGCTGCTTTATGAGTTGCTGGCTTTGTTTATCCGATGGCACTTTAATATTTCTCATTTCTTTTCTTTGCACACAAAATTAATTAACAACAAATGCGAATGCAAAAACCAAAAATTGTAATGCGAATGCAAATGCAAATGCGAATGCGAATGCAAATGCAGTTTTGCGGCCACTCCGGCAGCTCATTTAATTAATATTCATCCGGCAAACTTTGGCAGCACCGAGCGGAACCGGGCACCTAAGCACTGGCCACAGTGGGCGTGGCACTTGAAAACTAAACGAGCTGACTGCGAAGTGACTCTTGTGACAGTCTCGGACTGTGGCCATGGCGCAGTAAACCAAATAAAACAAAGCCCAAAACAAAACAAGCAAAAGGAAAAAAAAAGAAAATGATTATAAAAACAAAATTATAGAAAAAAGAGAAAGCAAAAGAAAATCAACAACAGTTGAAAACTTATGAGTGGGAAAGTGGACAGAAAAACGCAGCGTTCAAGGAAGTAATTATGGTTTATCCAAAGAGACAGATAGACAGAGCAGCAGCAGGAGCAGTAGCAGGAACAGCAGCAGGAGTAATGATAGCAAGAAAATGTGAAAGGAAAACGAGAAGACGACGACGATTCATAACATCAAACTTCAACTTTACGTGTAAATGAGAAAAACTAAATTAGAAAAGGGGCAAGTCGCGAGGGAAATGCGACAGAGACGAATGAATGAAGTTGGCGAGGAATGAAGCAGAGACTGGACAGGCGTGGGCAGGAGTTGGATAAGCTCAGCGCCGTACAAAATGATATTCTTTGCCCAACAACAACAACAACAACAACAACAACAACAACAACAAAAACAGCAGCTCAATGTGGGCGAGCCGAGTGCAATTATAAAAGCGAGATATGAGTATAGTTTATAGAGCATTCCCTAGGCATAGCAGCCACCCTGCCACAGCTCAATTGCAGGGTATACAAACAATCGGCCGCAAAATTTGCTTTTTTATTTATTTATTTATTTCTTTCTCCATGGCCTGCAAATGACATAATGCAAAAATAAATAAACGAATGCGCGGAATAGCGAAGGGAAATTGTGGATATACAGGATGACACCGTAGAGCCAGGCAGCCCCAAGGCAGCGGCTCAACTGCTCAACTGGCTCGCAGCGTTTCTCTCAGCATTTCTTGCCGGCACTTTGGCTGAGTTTATCCAGCCATTTATTGTGTGTGGCAGAAGTGCAGTTCCTTGTACTGAGAGCCAGCAGCTCTATTTGCTTTGGTTTATTTTGTTGTTGCTGTTGTTGTTGGTGTTGTTTTTGCTTTTATTTTGGCCACAATGCTGTTGGCCATAAAGTTGTGCAAATAAATTGCAATGCAGTTGAGGCTGGCAAGAAATAGATGCTGTTGCTGTGAGGCCGCGACGCGAAATTGATGGGGAATTGATTTGAAAGCAAATACATAAATGGAGCAGAGCCACCGAGAAGAAAACAGAAACAGGGCAGCGCATAAATCTTTGGGGAGCAACACGCTGAGAAATTGGCTAGATGCTCTGCTAGATGGCGGCACAAATTGAGAAATTGGGCTGGGAAATCTCTCACTCCCACTCCCACTCACTCACTCTCCCTCTCTCCCTCTCGCTCTCTCTCTCTCTCTCTCTCTGTCTCTCTCTATCTGTGTGTGGCGTATACGAAATGCGTTTGTTGTGTCTTTGGCTAAAGAAAACGCAAGAAAGTTGCGCCAAGTCGAGTTGAGAAATCATCGCGAATTGATGTATTCGTACAATTTGGCTTTGTTGTTGATTACTTTAACGACTGATTAGGTGCCGAAATATACAGAGGCATGCGCTGCATATCAATGAGATGGCAGCACGTAACGATGGGACGAAACTTTGCCGCAGCTCAAATTGAATGTACACGAGTGGCTTGAGGATAATTTTATTGATTGATTTAATGGTTTTACTTGGATTTATTTTGTTGTCTATTTAGATTGTTAGGGATTCACACGGCCAGGTGTGCTAGAAATTTGATCTGCCCTCAAATGAGATTACAAGATAGTGAAACGAATTCATTTCACTCTCTGGCATCTGCACTAAATCAATATTAAAGCGAGCCTTCTTCATTTTTGCCTGTCTGAGTCTAGCCTTTAGCTCTATTAGCACACACACACACACACACACATGCACACAATGTATTCTGTATTCTTCCATATAATATGCAAACGAGTTGGGTTCATAAATCATGGAATTTACATGTCTTCAGATATGCTTTTTCGTTTTTCGTTTTACTTTGCTGCTTTTTTACTTTTCATATATGTATATAGGTATATATATGTATATGTCTTTTTTGCATATCATTTTCATAATAATGCCGTTGCTTTCGGTAGCTCTGGGTGTACTCGACAAACAGCTTTTATGCTCAATACACAATTTCAATTCTCATCACTTGAATTTCCACTGAAGGAGCTCAACTATTTCCAACGAGTCGAGTCGAAAATGCCTGGCAATAATTCAACTCAATATCCAGGCACACACACACATGTATATATGTATTTATAAATATGCCCAGGCATACTCTCGCCCGTGACTTGGCTTGGTATGTTAAGTAAAACGTTGGCATTCACTTACCGATTCAATGGCCTTCTCCAGGCGAAAGATCTCCTCCTGCAGCAGATGCAGTGTTCCCGTTTTGCCGCGATGACGCGCAAATGCAGCGGCACAGGCGCTGTGTATGCTATTTACCCAATTCTCCAGCTCCACCTGTGCAGGTAACGAGAGAGAAAGAGAGAGAGAGAGAGATATGAGTGTGAGCTAGACAACAAATTGCAGAGGCCAAATGCAACAAGGCAAGGCACAAATTTGACGTTGCTCCCCTGTGCCAAATGTCGACAATGTTGTTGTTGTTGTTGCTATTGCTATTGCTGTCGTTGTTGTCGTTGTCGTTGCCATTGCTGGCTGACTATCAGTTATGCAAATTTAATGACAAATCACTGAGGCGACCAGGTAAAACGCTTACCGACAGTCAGTCAGTCAGTCAGCCAGCCAGCCAGTCAGTCAGTCAGGCGGTTGGCTTTTAAGGGGGGTGGGAGGAGGCGGCCAGGTGAGAGCGGCGCTTATGCCTCAGAGACATGTCACAGTTTAGGCACAAGGACCATGTCAGGCAGCAACTATTAGTTCAAGGCAATCTGCCTTGCCAGTTAGCTGGCTGTCGCCTACACAGCCCCAATCGCACTTTAAGCCAAGCGATTTGCATTTCAGCCAGTTGCGGGGTCTGCATCAGTTAACGCCTTTGAGGCAGGCGCTCAATGTGGCTGTCGCTGTGTGGGTGTGCGATTGCGAATGGGGTCTGTTGAAAGCCCGCGAGCGCTGAACTCGACACACACACACACACAGACACACACAGGCATACACAGCGGCTGATAGATATATCCTTGGTATCGTTAGGCAAACAAGACGCCTCAGTTGTCGCCATGTCGTCCAAGTCCAAGTCGTGCCAGATGGCTGGACAAGGCCAGCTTTTATGGTCGACCGGCCGCAGGCGGGGCCAGGCCTGATGCCTTTTCTAATTGCAGCATGAAAGTCTTACGGTTGAAGGACTTGCGGCGTGGCCGGACTCCCATTAAGCGCGACATGCATCATATCCTGCCGAACGGCACTTACCTGACAGGGCGCCTGGAACAGATAGGCATCGCCGAATGCGGTGCTCAGACAGAATATATAATCGCGCTTCGGATGCTCCGGTATTGGCTGCATAATCGCGCCGTCCACAATAATTAAATGCTTGGGCGCCGCCTCGACGCTGCGGCCCTCACGCGAATCGCACGGATAGAAGAGGAGCGTGGTGCCCTTCAGGCACACCCAGTAGCCCTTCCAGCCACGCTTGCGAGCCAGCTCGATTTGATGCTTCTTACGTAGCAGCCATTTCTTTACCGATAGAAAGCTGAGGGCGGAACGAGAGAACATGGAAAAAATGTAATCAAATCGATGTTAAATAAGCAACAGCTAATAAGCAGCAGGAGCGGGCCAGCATCAGGCAAATATGTATGTATGTATGTGTGCATGTATGTATGTGTGCATTTACAGTATTACTTCAGAGAATTGAACTAAATTCAACTCTGCAAAGTGTGAGCTGACTTTATAAGCTCTCAAATCAGCGGCGTGCTATAAAACGTGCCGTAGGCCAAAATCAGTTGAGAATTCCAAAAATGGAATTGCAAACAACATGAATTCGTATAAATTTGATGAGGAAGTACTTAAAAGGAAACTTTTCTCATTTAGTTATATTGAAATCTGTTTCAAGTACTTTTTCCATGCCAGGATAAATAAGGATTCGTGTTTTCCAATGCGGATAGTTGGGTTCATTAGCTAATAAGTAACTGTAAACGTGCCAGCTTGTTGCAGTCTCGTTTTACATTCAACAACTTTCTTTTCACTCTCTGTCTCTCTCTATCTCTTTCTCTTTCGCTCTACCCTTCTGGAGTCTCAGCGGACACACACACACACACACACGCTCACTCTATCATGGCGGAATGCGTTTGGCTGTAATAGCTGTAAATGATATGCCAAGCGCTGAGCTATTTTCTACTTTATTTATGATTAGCTGTTGTTTGGGGAGCCCACCACACGTGGCTGCTCCTCCTGCTCCTGCTGCTGCTGCTGCTCCTGCTGCTGCTGCTGCTATGCCCTTGGGCATTGTTTCGTGCCAGTGATTAACGGCAGCTGGATGCGAGTAACTTACCCGGCTTTACGCACAGCGCCCGTGCAGTTGAAGGAGGATGCAGCGGTGCCAGTGGCCTTTGCTTTATATGGTGACGCCATGACACTTTCGCCATCATCTTCATCCGAAACGGCAGTAGTTAGGCTCATTCGATCATCGTCCGAGATCTGCAAGAGATGATGCATAAATTGAGAATGTATAAGCAAACACATACAGCTACAAGTATATACAAATACATATACATACATATAAATTTATATATATAGAGAGAGAGAGAGAGAGAGTGGGATAGAGGCAGATGAGGTCGTCGCTGTTGACAACGAGAAAATGTAATAAGTCTGCCAAGCAATAATTGAAATAATTAAGTCATAATTAACAGTGCCAGTCAGTCAGGTCCCACACTACACACACACACCCCACACATATACACACACACTTACAATTCAACCCGATACGAATCGCAATGAGCCGAAGCGACCCCGTAAGCCATTTGATACCAATAATGGTTGACTGGCCCCATGTTGTTGTCGTTGTTTGTATTGCCATTGCTGCTGCTGCTGCTGTTGCTGCCGTTGTCACTGCCGACAGCAACATTTGTTACGTATGTCGTCGATAAAGCAATTTGTCTTCTCTCGCCTGCATTTTTAGTGAAGTTGGCAACGTGGGACAAGAAGCGAAAGCCAGCCCTGAACGAAGGGGAGGGCGGATGGACAACAATTGACAACAACAACAACAACAGTAATGGCAGCAATATCAACAACAACAATCAGAGGAAAGAAAGACGACTCAGAAAACGAATCGAAGCAAAATAACAGCAGGGGCAGCAGGAGCAGCTGCTAGGAGAAGAGATGGCCCGGCTAAAGCAATGGCAAACAGTTTCTTGGCCATGTTATCGAGGCGAACTGGCTAGCGAGCATTCCATCAAAAGCCGGGTCGAGAACGACAGCTCTGCTCTGCCTGGGCCCATCCTGCGACTTCCTTCCGTTCTCACCACACACACACACACAGAGAGAGAGAGCCCAGTGCGCCAATTTTGCTTTCGCAACAGGATAGGAGACAAGGCAGCCAGGGCATAGCGGATAGAGGCGGACAGAGGCTGGGGGCGTGGCAGCTTGGTCCCGTGCGGGCAACGGGCAACGGGCAACGGCACTGAGGCTGTGGTGCGCGCGCTCGTTCGCTACGTGTCCCGCGTGGCAATAAAAATTGGTTTGCCCATTCATTCGTTTCAATTGGGTGGTGCTGGCTGCTGGCCCCAGCTATCAGCGCCCAGCCACGCCCACAATGTCGCTCACTTGCTGCTGTTGCTGCCGTTGCTGCTGTTGCTGTTGCTGTTGCTGTTCATGCCATTTTTATTTGAGTTCCCAAGGAAATCAATTTACAATGTGTTTATTCGTTTCGTCTTCGCTTCCTGCTGCTGCTGCTGCTGCTCCTGCTCCTGCTGTTGCTCTGGCTGAGGCAGACCCGTCGATTCCTTGGCCCCATTTCTTCGGCTTTGGTTACTACGCTACACCCACATGCCCGCCCGCCTCTCCTCGTTTTACGTTTTTGGCAATTTTCAAACATTTTTGCTCATATGCATGTTTTACAAGTTATTTATTTGACTGCCCGACGCGTCGGTTAGAGCGGGCTACGGGCTGCGGGATGCGAGCGGCAAATGGGCAACTGTCAAGTGGCATGTGTTCGCCTGTGTTTGCACACCAGCCACGCCCAAATCCTCAGAGAAACAGCAGCAGGAGCAGCAGCAGCAGCAGCAGCAGCAGCAGGAGCAAAGTCATGTGTGCTTAACCCACAAGTGACGTCGTCAGCGTCGCCCTCATCGTCGTTTGTCGTTGGCCAAGTTTAATCAAATTTTATATTAATCGAAAGAGTGCAAAGGCATGCAAATACCCAAACGTGAGCTGGCTCCACTTCGTCAGCAACAAGAAAGAGGCAACATAAATATTTTCCGAGTTCAAATTGCCAAAAATAAAAATAAAAAGGGAAACCCGGCAGCAGAAGCACATCAAAGCGTATTCTGCCCGAGCTCTGCCAAGGGGTTTCACTGGGCTGAGGGAAGGGAAGGTGCGCGGGGCGCAAGGCAATTCCATTGAATCGAATTGAGGTGCATCGCTTGTAGCTCTGATTAATTGGGAAGGCTATATATACATAAAATTATATATTGTATAATGGAGCTGAGCAAGTGAGGAAGCCATTAAAGCGCCTCAACGAGCATTGTGCGAGTGACTTAAAGGCGTTTTACAACACTGTGAGCTTGCTCACAAGCTCTTTGCACTTAATTAGCATTCAGCCTGGCCTTTAGCTGGAATATGTCAGATTTTGTGTCCGATATTTCATCTCTTTTCGCATTTTAAGCATCTTTCTACTCCCTCACTCTCTCTCTTTCTCTTTCTTTCTTTCATTCTGTTTTTGGCTATTTCGGTCGGGCTTTGAGTTGCTTTGATATGACTTAATTAATTTTTCACATTTTCATGCAGTTTTCCTTAGCTTAGTTACAGCTTTTTTAATTAAAGTCTTTCATTTATGCTGAAAACCCTTTTCCACACTGACTGCTGCTGCTGCTGCTGGCTTTTCTAGTTCAGTTTCGATTTTCAGCTTTTCTGGTTAGTCAAAATGAATTCGCAACATTTTCATAAGCAGAGCGCTTGTATTTTAAATAGCCAGCCCGTGGCCTCAATCATTTTTGTGGCAGCTACCATATTGAAAACTCCAAAACACTCAAAAAGCACTCACCCACTTACCAGCGGCAGTCAGCATTGCCGCACCGCCGCACCCCCGCCGCCCCGCCACACAGTACACCTGACAACATTTATAGCGCCAAATGAAATAGTTTCCGCTTGCTCAATGAAGTTTTCCATGAAATCATCAAGCCGAACGGAAACTGCCGAGCGGAACTGTTGCAAGCAGACAGCAGCAACAGCAGCACCAGCAGCAGCAGGAATGTTGGCAGCCCTGGCAACCCTGGCAACGAGGTGTGCTGCACAAATAAGTCCACAGCCATGGGCAGCCCAACTTTTTGGCATCAAATTAAATACAATAAGGGGCAATGGGCAAAAGTACTTTCTGCCAAGTTGCCATCAAGATATTTGGGTATACGGTATACATCAAACACTATTTCGTACAGCTAGTCAAAAGTCACTTCATCAGCAACAGCAAAGATCTCGGAACAATCGACGCTAATGTAATGGAAAACCCTTTAGAAGGCTGGCAAAAGGGACACAACTCGGGGAATTAACGAGTTTTGTACCTTTCACAACAGATTACTCGGCATCTACAATTGGCTATTATATGAGTGTATGTATGTATGTGTGTGTGTGTGTGTGTGTGTGTGTGTGTGTGTGACAAACAATGGCAATGGCCTAGCAAAAAACGAAAAGCCCAAGCGTAACGTTGACTGCCAAATTGACAGCATCAAATCTGAACGTCGACTGATTGGCCCCGTCGAATGGCTACAATTTGTGCAGACCCAAAGAGTTTGTCAAATGATTCATGAATTTTTAATTGATATGACCCGGAGTGTAGCACCGGCAATAGCCCATGTCCGCCCACAGTTAAAGTGTTGTCGAATTCCATCATCAGCAGGAGTAACAGCAGCAGCAGCAGCAGCAGCAGCAGCAGCAGGAGCTGGAGCTGGAGCTTGACAATGGATTGTGTCTGCTAACTCACATGGGTAAGCCTAAATGGGCAGCCCCAAACACGCACACACACACACACAAGTAAACACACACAAAAGATTAAATGCCTATAGTCCTGGAGCCAGTGCTGCCGCCTCCTGCGCTCACCCCACATCTGATTACTTGGGCCTAATATGCCATATCTCAGCATCGGTGCAAAATCAAAATTCAATTTACGCACACAATCAAATACACGCACACCCACACACACACACGCACACATTGACATACACGCGTGCGCACCCAGACACGCCCACTCGGCATACAGAGGCATACACCCTTATCCGTTGCCCGGACAGGTGGCCGACCTCTGCTGTCGAGCTGCGTTTTCTAATCAAGAATTGATTGTGATCTCTCGATGCGGCTGTCGTTCACGTTTCATCCATAATTATCAATGACTTTTGAATGTCAAATGTGAGGGTTGCCTGCCATTGGCACCTACACACACACGCACGCACACACGCACACATACATAGAGCAGCCCCCGCTCGCTAAGAGGTAGAAAAAATCATTTCATTGCTCGCACTCGCTGTCAAAAATTACAATATTTGATAGAGTGTTTATATGTCGCTGTCGCTGTTGCTGTTGTTGCTGTTGTTGTTGCTGCTGTTGTTGTTGCTGCTGTTGTTGTTGCTATCGCAACCAAATCTCGCACATTCGCACAATTTCACATATGTAAGCAAACATTTGCTTGTGCAGGCAACGCCAGCTGTCAGCCAAAAAGAAACAAGTAAGAAAACTCTAGTCGAGAGTGCTCGACTAGATACTACCCTGAACCCAACAATTAAAAATGCCCATTTAGTAAGGCTGAAATTTCAATTTCGATGTATTTAAAAATATAAATAAAATACCAAACTCATTTAATAAAATATAAAAATATTTTGAAACAATTAAAAAAGTTAACAACAGTTGCACCGATCGGGATTCGAACCGCGACTTCTCGATCGAGCGTCATGCAGCTAACACACTAGGCCACCTCACTCCTGCTAGTNAAAAAAAAAAAAAAAAAATAAAAAAAAAAAATACAACTGCAAATTCGTGGCACGTTTGCGCTTAAGTGAGGCATTAAAGCTAAGTTTCAGCTGGCAGAAATTGAAATTGATACAAAAGTGGCAAATCTGCAGCGCATTGCAAGTATTTGCTATACATCTCTCTCCCTCTCTCTCTCTCTGCGTCTCTCGCTGTTCAACAATTTCTTTTGGGCAAAACATCTTGACGGCAAATGAAGTTGTCTAAGCAAATCGCACTGTGCTGCAGCAGCAGCCCGAGCAAAAGCAATTTGGCATTAGCTGTAAGACGGATTTTGGCAATGATTAAAACGGAAATACTGCAGCTGGAGTTAGAGAGAGAATGGGAGTGTGAGAGAGAGAGAGAGAGTTAAGCAGGTGGTTGCGGGACACGGGTATATGTCATGTCACTCGCATTTGATTAAATGTGTGCACTGAGCGTTGCTTGGCATTAATTGCTTTGTGCAGCGCCGCAGCAAACGAGGCGTG